TGGAAAAAAAAAGGGGGGGGGGGGGGAAGGGAAAAAAAACCCCTTTTTTTATTTTTTTTATTTTTTGGGGGTTGAAAAAGAGTGAATTTTGAATCTTTCTCCAATGGGCTAGCTGCCACTCATCCACGTACCTCATGTTATTGCCTTCTTATAGACTTTTCAAATATTATTTTTATATTCAAAATCCAATCCTTTTTTTTTTCTTTTTTTTTTCTTCTAAAATTATAATAAAATTTTCTTCGGAATTTTAACGCAAATTTGACCCGTTAAAGATAACGTCAGATCTTCTGTGTTTTAAGAATCACGAGGCTGACGACGATATGTAATGAGCTACTAGCGGTGAGTTTGGGTTGTTACACTATTGCTAGTAGATATTGTCTGCTTTGGCTCGATACGTATCATTGTCAGTCTTACGATTTTATAACATGTTTCTACACTTTTATAAGGAATGTTTCGTTCCCGTCTCCAATCGATATAGGATCTCACAGTCCATCCTCCTTGGGGGTCAGCGTCGTTGCTGGCACACCACTTGGTGTATAGTTCTGATACCATTTGTAACAACCCAAACTCACCCCTAGCATATATTGTCTGTTTTGACCAATTATGTATCGCTTCACGTTTACGGTTTTAAAACGCGTCTACTTGGGAGAGGTTTCCACACCCTTACAAGGAATGTTTCGTTCCCCTCTACAACCGATATGAGATCTCACAATCCGCCCTCCTTGAAGGCCAGCGCCCTCGCTGGCACACAACCCAATGTCTGGCTCTAATACTATTGTAACAACTCAAACTCACCGATAACAGATATTGTTTACTTTGATTCGTTATGTATTATCGTTAGCCTCACAGTAAAAAGTTTTCATACTCTTATAAGAAATATTTTGTTTCTCTATCCAACAGATGTAGAATCTTCCAGGTGGCGTAAAGCGTAATTACAGATACAGGTCATGTGATCCCACTACTTCGATAACATCTCCAAACAAAAGGAAACAAAGGCATATATTACGAATGAGATTTTGAGAATCTTTTTAATCATTTTATGTAGTTTTGTTTCGTCTCCTTCTCGTGTTTCTTCTTTTTCATCGCCCTGAATCTCGAGAAGCAAAAATAAAATTTAAAAGATTAAAATTAAAATTAAATGCATTTTTTTCTTAAAAATAAAAAAATAAAATAAAATAAAAAATTGCTGGTTTGATGGATGTCGGCACAAGAGGAAGCAAGAGAAAGCCGAGTAATTTATTCGTTTGTTGTTTTTACTGTAAAGTTTTATTCTCTCAGAACTCACTCATAGATTTGATGCTCTCTGTGATCATATTTGAATCAGAGCGATCCTAAAAATAAAATAATTAAAAAAGAT